GAATCATGACCTGAGCCAAAATCTAGAGTCCCACATTTAACTGCTTGAGCCACCCAGGTGCCCCACCAATGCACCACTTCGGACATTTCATTTTATTATGACCATTTAAGTTCCATGAAGGGAGGGATGTGTCCCTCTTTTTGGTACTTGGCACCACATAGTGCGTGCTTAATTAATATCATCAAATGTTATGAAATATCAATGCCAGGGGAAATTGTACCAACTCCACATTTCCATGGTAGATGAATTATTTCCCCAGTGCTTATAATATTTGCAGTACCCATAGAGGCTCTATGTGAATGTGGATCTAATGTACAAGAATTAACTAGTTTTACAAGGTCTGCGTCTTTGTTAGAAGAGTAGTGGCGTAACCGTGGTCTGGACACAGAAGTTTTGGCATCTCTTCCTGTTTTCATCACAGCCTCATTAAGCCTCAAGCAACAGGGCTCACTCCCATGGCTCAGTTTCCCAAGCCTTGAAAAGAAAACCCTGTCCACTTTCTACCTATTCAGGGGGACCAAGGGGAAGGAGGAAAGCCTATAAAGGGTTCCAACTTACTATAGAGAAATATAGAATGGCCCCACAATTTTTGTTTCCTTCTCTCGAAAACAGTTTAAAGGGGGCACCTGGGTGGCTCAGTGGGTTAAAGCCTCTGCCCTCGGCTTGGGTCATGATCCCAGGGTGCTGGGATGGAGCCCCTGCTCAGCAGGAAGCCTGCTTCCCCTCTCTCTCTGCCTGCCTCTCTGCCTATTTGTGATCTCTGTCTGTCAAATGAGTAAACAAAATCTAAAAAAAAAAAAAAAAGAAAGAAAACAGTTTAAAGTTCTCTTTCTGTTTCACTTATGGTATCAGGATTCTCCTACCATTCAGGAAAGTGGAAGACATAAGCTGCCAGTGAATAACCATTATCTCCATTTTACAGATGGAGGTACTTAAGGTAGAAGAGGGTTATATGTTCAAGTCGGCAAAGTAATTCACCAGCAGAATTCCAAAAAGAGTCTGAGTCCAAAACAAAATGATTCCATGGAACCATCTGCTCTCCAGCTGCACAGACAGTTCCCTAAAACGCAGTAAGTATTGTTGAAACTATTTTTACTGCAGCAGAAGTCAATCAGACAGCTGGGATTCAGATAAGACCTGGCTTGAGCATTTCAATAAAGATGCTTTTTTCACTCTACCAGCTAATAGATTTTATGCCCTGTCTACATCTTCGGTATTTGCAAATGCAATTTAATTGAAGATAGAGAATCCCTTTGGTCTTGTTAAGTCATGAAATTCAAGCAACGGCCACAAAGAAGACGGATTGCATTGACTAGATAAAATAGTTACATTTGTGAAGGTGACAAGGATAAACACAATAAGCAAACCAGATCCAAGTCTCTGGTTCTTTTATTTGGCTCATATCTAGGCAACCAGAGTCATGCACTTATCTAATGAGGTGACTTAACTCCTTTGGGGAGGGTGGGTGAGGCGTGGGTGGAAAGATGCAAGTGTTGGACATGAGACAATGACAGAAGGTAGAGAATTGTGAAAACTGGGTGATGGATACATGGGAGTTCATCACAAACTTCCATTTACTTAATATATGTTTGAAAATTTCCAAAATAAGAAATAGCTTAGTGTAGCAAGTTGCTAACCAACTTTGCAAAAAGACTCACATGGTCTTCCATGAGCTTTTAATCTTAAAAAAATTTTTTTTTGAAGATTTATTTACCTACCTGATAGATCAAGATCGGGGAGAGAGACAGAGGGAGAGGGAGAAACTTAAGCAGACTTGGTGCTGAGCTGAGGAGTCTGATCCCATGACCCTGAGATCATGACCTGAGCTAAAATCAAGAACCAGGATCTCAGGGTCCTGGGATTGAGCCTGGCTTTGGGCTCTCTGCTCAGCAGGGAGCCTGCTTCCTCCCTCTCCGCATCCCCACTTGCTTGTGATCTCTGTCTGTCAAATAAATAAATAAATAAATAAATATCATTTAAAAAATAGTACAAGTTAATATATATTTTTTTAATATTTACAGAGTTTTGCAACTATCACCATGGACGATTTTATTAACTTTTTTATTTTTTTTTTATTTTATTTTTTTTTTTTTAAATATAAGCTCTGTGTTCAATTTGGGGCTTGAACTCACAACCTGGAGATCAAGAGTTGCATGATCCACTGACGGAGCCAGCCAGGCACCCCTACCACGGTTACTTTAAAATTTTTTTCCTCACCCCAAATAGAAATTGCCCATAGCAGTCACTTCCTTTCTCCCTAACCCCCTCAACTTCTGGCAACTACTATTCTGCTTCCTGTCTCTATGTATTTACCTATCATGGACATTTCATATAAGAGGAACCAACAATATGTGACCTTCTGTGACTGACTTCTTTCACTTAGCATCATTTTTTTTAAAAGATTTTATTTATTTATTTGACAGACAGAGGTCACAGGCAGAGAGAGAGGGGGAAGCAGGCTCCCCACTGAGCAGAGAGCCTCTGCGGGGCTTGATCCCAGGACCCTGAGACCATGACCTGAGCTGAAGGCAGAGGCCCCAACCCACAGAGCTGCCCAGGCACCCGTCACTTAGCATCATTTATTTCAAGGTACATCCCATGTTGCAGCATGTATCATATCAGTACCTCATTCCTATTTTGGCTAAATAATCTACTGTATAGATAAACCACATTAAAAAATATTTTATTTGTTTCTCAGAGAAAGAGAGCACAAGCAGAGGGAGTAGCAGGCAGAGGGAGAAGCAGGCTTCCTGCTGAGCAAAATCCTGAGGACTCTGGGACCATGACCTGAGCTTTACCCACTGAGCCACCCAGGCGTCCTGGTTTATCACTTTTGTTTGAAAGATTTTATTTATTTATTTATTTATTTGAGAAAGAGACAGAGCACAAGCGGGAGGAGGGTCAGAGGGAAAGGGAGAGGGACAAGCAGACTCCCTGCTGAGTGTGGCGCCCAATGTAGGACTCAATTCCAGGACCACAAGATCACGACTTGAGCCAAAGTCAGATGCTTCATCAACTGAGCCACCTAGGTGCCCCTAGATAAACCACATTTTTAATCCATTCATCAAATAATAGATATGTATAGCTTTTCACTTTTTGGCTGTTATGATTATGCTGCTATGAACATTCATGTATTACGAATTGTGTAAGACTGATGAATCACAGAACTGTACCCCAGAAACAAATAAGACATTGTATGTTAATTTAAAAAATTCACGTATAAGGGGTTTTTGCTGTTATTGGTCATTGTTGTTGTTGTTTTGTGGGCATGTTTTTATCTCTCCTGGGTTTATACATAGGACTGGAATTGATGGGTCATATAGTTAACTCTATGTTTAACATTTTCAGACACTGCCAGATTGTTTTCCAAAGAAGCTGTACCATTTTGCAGTCCCACCAGCAATATACTCAGGTTCCAATTTCTCCACATTCTCACAACACAATTAGCTCTTTGATTTTAGCCATTCCAGTGGGTGTGAAGTGGTATCTCTTTGTGGCTTTGATTTGCATCTCCCTGACGGCTAATGAAGTTGAGTATCTTTTCACATACTTTTTTTTTTTTAAAGATTTTATTTATTTATTTGACACAGAGAGAGATCACAAGGAGGCAGAGAGGCAGGCAGAGAGAGAGGGGGAAGCAGGCTCCCTGCTGAGCAGAGAGCTCGATGGAGGGGGGGGCGACCCTCCATCCTAGGACCCTGGGATCATGACCTGAGCAGAAGGCAGAGGCTTAACCCTCTGAGCTACCCAGGGGCCCCTTCACGTGCTTATTCTTTAACTTTGAGGCAGGCCTGCAGCTTCCTTTCTTAGTTGGGAGAATTACGGCTTTGTCCCACCTGCAAGTTTTTATTGAGTTTCTTAGTGCCTAGATCATTAGAAGAATAAATTAATACTCTTTCTCAATGGAGCTCAGCTACTGCTCCAACATGGTGAATGAAAGTCTTTCTTTGCATTTTTTTTCCCAAAGAAGAAAATTCAGGAGGATACTATAAGAAGTTAAACATTAAGTACGCTAAAATGTAACCTAAAAAATTAGTATTCTTGCAGCCGAAGGAAGCGAAGTCCCTTTGTTTTATTTAATCTGACATAGTGCATATAAGTAAACCTATTTAAAAGAAATAGAACAGTCTTAGGTCCTATGAGAGGTGAGTGAATGGACATCTTCATGTCTCTTTCTTTAAATACTGGTGGATTTAAGAGGGGAGACGTAGTGAAACAAAACCAACGGAGTGTCATCCAGTCGGGTTGAAGAAATCGATACTTTATTTTTACCACCTCAATTTTCTCTGTTCACATAAAGTCAATTCCAAGGGCTCATCCGAATCCCCTCATTGTGTCAGGATTAGGATTTGGTTATTTTGAACGTCGCTCTAAAAGAGCAGCTGGGATTGGAGAACCGTTGGTTTAAGTGTTTTCAATAAAAGCTTGTTATTAGAGCCGAGTCTTAGAGTGCACAGCTTGCCGCTGCTCACCCGACCCTCCAGAGAGGAGACCTAAGGTCATTACCGAGTGTGAGCGGCTTGAACGTCTCGGAGGAAATCCGAGGCCCGGTTCTGGCGGCTATTAAAAAAAAAAAAAAAAAAAAAAAAAAGAAAGAAAGAAAGAAAAGAAAAAAGCCTTCAAACCACCCGGCGTTTTCAAATTTACCACGCCCCTTCCTGCCTTCATTGCCCTGGAAACTTGACCACCTAACCTCAAAGCTAAATCTCTAGCATACGGGTCCCTCAGGGAACGCTGGCTCCTATTTCAGCGACCCAACCAAGAAACCAGTCCCTGCGGGCTCCTCCCGCCACGCCCAGGCCCGCCCATCTCCACTCCGGGTGGAATGGAGTCTTCCTCCGCCTACCCGGCCGGCCAAAGGCCCCGCCCCATTCCCTCCTCTTCATTGGCTCTGGTGACCAGCCCCCAGAGCGTTGGCTTCGGATTGGCCGCCGCGGCCGCCGCTCGGCGATCTTCCCGGGGGCGTGAGGCGGGCGTGACTACGCCCCTACGTCGGGACGCTCGGTCGCCGCGGGAGGTGCCGTAATCGCCGCCCAGAAGGCAGGAGGGTGGCTGTTCGAGGAGCTGCTATGGTGCTTAGTTCCCCGGTAGAGCCGACCGAGACGCGGCGGTCGCGGCCATGAAGGTGAGGGGCCGGTGGGGCCGGGCAGTTCCTCCTCGCCTCTCCTAACTGGCCGGCGAGCCTGAAGTGTCTTCCTTTAGCCTCAGCGGTTCTCCCCGCAGACACTCGGAGAGCTCCGCTGGGGGACGTCCCGGGCCGGCATCCGGGCCCTGACCAGCCCAGAGCCGAGATCCTGGTCTCCAGGACCTCTCCAGCTCCCACAGCGGCTCCCTTCAGCGAGCCTGAGGAGGGGGGGAGAGGCCGGGCGGCCCCCCCGCGCTCAAGCCTGGTGGGCCCGTCTTTGCTTTTGGCCCTTCCGCTTCCTCGGGGGCTTAAAGCAGACCCCCTGGTTCCCGCCTCAGCTCTCCATGCCTTTGCCCACAGCGTGCCCTCTCCCGCCCTGAGTCCTTGAACTAACCCAAATGTCGGGAACACTACGGGACTGTCGCAGGACGGAGACTGCAGGACGAAGGGAGGAAGAGTAGTGCGGGGAGTCGTGAGGCTGGGACTAGGCTAACAGGTTAGAAATGCCTCCGGGCGGGGAGCCCACCCTTCTGGATTTCTGCGTAGGCTTGTTATTGGGGCCGTGACCTAGAGCGCTAGCAAACTAGATGTGTCTCCATCGCCACTAGGTACGCAGCAAGTAATTTGACAGCTTGAGTTCTTCAAGGTGGGTGTGAGAGCGTGGGAGCATCAGTGAGTGAGAAGTTTAAGAAAAGAGGGAAGGGGGGAGATTCTGGCCTACTTTTGGGAGCTGATTTTCTCAACTTGATCTCAGAGTTCCAAAGAGCTCTGTGTACGACAATCAATTCAGGTATTGATTCGTCTGCTGAACTCAAACCAAGTGGGGTGAGTCGTAAAGTGATACTCTTTCAGACACAGACGATTTCTTTAATCCCTGTGAAGAGGCGTGTTTGTTGTGGGTAAGGGAACTAACAGAGTGAACTGCTAGCTTAAAACTACCCTCACAGAGCCTCAAAAATTTGCTGTGGAAGATTGACAGGGAGTGCCAAGTGGCTAGAGAAATTCAGCAGATATTTTCTTGAAGGTTTCCTTTGTGTTAGTGAGAGGGAGACTTGCCGAGTTGGAGTAATTGAAAATGCGATCTCACCTTTTAGGAGTTCGCCGATCAAGAGTAGAGACATTCTCAGGTAACCATGTTACAAAGCAGAATATGACGTGAGGTATCAAAAGCAAAATGCTAAAAAGCGAAAAAGGATATTTCTGGCCTCAGTAAACAAGATTTTTGGAAATAGGAAACTTTTTGAACTGTGTGTTAAAGTGCGAAGATAATAGATATTAAAATATCCAAAACTAGCTTTCTTTGCTGCAAACCATCATCTTGCTGTGTTAAGATTCAGAAACAAAACAGGGATCTTTATATATATCTTTATCTTTATATGTATACACACACATATGTGTATGCATGTATATGCATATGGCCTCAAAGAATGTCAGTATCTTGTTTAGTATTAACTTTGTGACCCATCAATGAACTAGGTGTAGAAAGAGAAAAGTAGTGACAGGTCCAGTGTTGAAATTAAAAAAAATTTTTTTTTGTTTTAAGGATTTTATTTATTTACTTGCCAGAGAGCAAGAGGACAAGCAGTGGGAGCCTCAGGCAGAGGCAGAAGCAGGCTCCCCACCGAGCAAGGAGCCCCATGTGGGATTCCATCCCAGGACCCTGGGATCATGATCTGAGCCACCCACACATCTCCAGTGTTGAAATTTTTAATCAAGTTCTTTAAAATCAATTTATGTGGAAGACTGTGCTTTCTGAGTTGACATTTTAGAAAAAAAGTTTGGTGGTAGTTGAAAATGTAGAAAAGATAACATACTTTAAGAAGCAAAAAATAGACACCAGTCTGTGCAAGAGGACTGTTACGAAGATAGCTGCTTTTCATTTATGTTTTTATGGAAAGTGGATTCCTGAAACACAGGATTTGGGCTATTGTTTATTTTTTAATTTTTTTTTAAGTTTTTAAAAAATTTATTTGACAGAGATCACAAGTAGGCAGAGAGGCAGGCAGAGACAGAGAGTGGGGAAGCAGGCTCCCTGCTGAGCAGACCCCTCTCCCCCCATGTGGTGCTGGATCCCAGGACCCTGGGATCACGACCTGAGCCGAAGGCAGAGGCTTTAACCCACTGAGCCACCCAGGCGCCCCTATTGTTTATTATTTAACTTTGTTTAAAATTGAAATTAATTGTGAACATGCTCATCTGTAGATTTCTGGGCAGGGTCAGTGATTCCTGATGCCATGGAATCCTAACATGTGAAGTTCACTGAAGCAAGAACTTCTTTCAGGGGAATTAAAATTACTTTTGAGAGTTAAACAATCAGAAAATTATATCTTGGGGTGCCTGGGTGGCTCAGTGAGTTAAGCCTTTGCCTTCAGCTCAGGTCATGATCTCAGGGTTCTGGGATCAAGCTCTTCATCGGCTCTCAGCTCAGCGGGGAGCCTGCTTCCCCCTCTCCCTCTGCCTGCCTCCCTGCCTACTTGTGATCTCTCTCAAATAAATAAAATCTTAAAAAAAAAAAGAAAATTACATCTTCACTCAACCCCAGGAGTAGCTGATTTTAGTATGTGTAGAATGGGTACTTACTTTCTTCCTTTAACTTGTTTGTTTACAAACTGATGTTTCGAAGTAAGTTTTGCCTCTCAAAACTCAAGTAACTGTTTAACCTTAGAATAGCATCTAATTAATTCCCTCTAAGGGGTTTTAAAAACCCAAATTGGTGTCCTATATTGATTTAATCCTCCTTCCTGTTTTTCCGTATTTATATTGAGCACACCCCTGATTGTACTAATCATGTTCATTCTTTCAAGTTCAAAATAAAAATTAAGGAGAAAGAAATCTGTTGGATATAATTTCCTTTGCGGTTTTTGTTTTGTTTTGTTTTGTTTTTCTCTGAAAGGTGGGGGAGTGGTGCTAAGGATCAGGTATACTATTTAAAAACAAAACAAAACCCCAATAAGAGGAAGGTAATATTTATGATTCCAGAACACCTTACTCTAAAAATCCGTCTATCAGTTTGGCCAAATTTCCTACCTAAAAATATGCATTTTTAAGATCAGCATCTGTTTTTGCAGCCTGCTTAATGTCCAGATTGTATGAGAGAAAGAATTTAGGATGTAGAATTTCCTCCTTTGTCTGATGGTCTGATGTCTATGGTCTGATTATTTGGTAATGTAAAAGGTAGACTTTCTTGCAAATTTTATTTCAGTCGAGGCAGCAGTTTCAATATGAGATGCTTTCACATTTTAAGGAGCATATTCTTCTCAAGTGGCTGTAGATAGGGACACCTGGGTGGCTTAGTCATTAAGCGTCTGCCTTCAGCTCAGGTCATGATCCCAGGGTCCTGGGATCAAGCCCCCACATGAGGCTCCCTGCTCAGCAGGAAGCCTGCTTCTCCTTCTCCTACTCCCCCTGCTTGTACTCCCTCTCTCACTGTCTCTGTCAAATCAACAAAATCTTAAAAAAAAAAAAAAAAAAAAGTGGGTCTAAATAGGTTAAACGTTTTTGATAATTATCTCAACTTCTCAACTGTTTCTTCTGTTTTGCTTTGTTTTTTTCTGCTATTCCTAAGTTCTGTAGGAAAGCTTAAACTAACTGAAATTTAAACTTTATTTTTTAAAATTATTTTTTTCTATCACTGGTGATATGGTTTGAAACATCTTTTCATGTTGCTTAACATAAGGACATTGAGTTTTAGCAAACAAAGTTGTTTGGAGTTGAAAATAACACATATGGTGAGTGAATTCTCCAAGGAAGCCTTCATTATTGGAAGAACTGAATTCCTGCCTGGTCCCAGTAGCTTCATACAACATCCAAGAAAATTAATACTCTTGAATTTGAAATTTGGAAGTTTTTCTTTAATGTAGCTGTATACGGTATTATATTTAATTTAGAGTTACGGCAAGCAACTCTTAGGAGATGGCATTATTATTATTGTTCTTTACCTATTTTAATCAAAGGAAATAATATGGGGCACCTAGCTGGCTTAGTTAGTAGAGCTTGTGACTCTTAGAGTCGTGAGTTCAAACCCCATATTGGGTGGAGAGCTTACTTTAAAATAAAAAAGGTATTATAATATGATCGTTAGTTTTCTGTTTTCAAATCCATGAACTTTCTCATTGATTGTCATTTAATCTTCATGGAAACCGGCATGGTTTTTTCTTTCTTTTTTTTTTTTTTTTTAAAGATTTTATTTATCCATTTTTGAGAGTATGGGCACAAAAGTGCACAAGCAGGGGGAGCACCAGACAGAGAGCAGGGAGCCCAACATGGGGCTCTGTCGGAGGACCCTGGGATCATGACCTGAGCTGAAGGCAGACACTTAACTGACCAAATGAGCTACCCAGGTTCCCCAGCATGGCTTCTTTCTAGTTTGCCTGGTTATTATATTTGGTGGAATCTTTTTTTTTTTTTTTAAGATTTTTATTTATTTGACAGACAGAGATCACAAGCAGGCAGAGAGGCAGGCAGAGAGAGAGGAAGGGAAGCAGGCTCCCTGCTCAGCAGAGAGCCCGATGCGGGGCTTGATCCCAGGACCCTGGGATCATGACCTGAGCCACCCAGGCGCCCCTGGTGGAATCATTAAAAGGGATCACATCCTGATGTGGTTTAGAATAAGATTCAAAATTTGTAGCAAACTTTTTAAAATTGAGCATTTTGGAATTATCCGCTCCCCAGTAGGGATTCTAAAAGCACATTAGGGGGCACCTGGGTGGCTCAGTGGGTTAAGCCTCTGCCTTCAGCTCAGGTCATGATCTCAGGGTCCTGGGATCAAGCCCCACATCGGGCTTTCTGCCCAGCAGGGAGCCTGCTCCCCCCTCTCTGCCTGCCTCTCTGCCTACTTGTGATCTCTCTCTCTGTGTCAAATAAATAAATAAATAAAATCTTTTTAAAAAGCACATTAGATTACACACAAACACACATACCTACACAAAGATGGTTGAACCTTGAGGCCGTTTGAAAACTGGCACTGTGCCAGAATGATGCTTGGTTATCTTTCTTACAAA